ATGCGGGGTCCATGTATACTACATGCATGGATCATACGAACCGTGTGAATTCCTAATAGTCTTCGTTCATGTGTGGCAGGGTGCTATTTCACATATCTTATGGCTCCTGCACACAGGACGCGGTAATGTTTGCCGCGCGGCGGAAGTTCGCATAACAACCAATCAATATGCTGCTTTCCGTAATAACCTTCTAGCTCTTATGGAAAAACAACATATTGATTGGCTGTCGCGCGGACTTCCGCCGCACGGCAAGCATTACCGCATCCTGTGTGCAAGAGCCATTACGACAAGCTTTTCGGATACGTTTATTGGTTGGCGAATAGAGTATTTCTAGGTTCTTTGTTCGTCAACCAATGAATGTATCCAAAAAGCTTGTCGTATGACACGTGAAATATCAGCCGTAGAAGGGCCACTGAGTATAGGTCTGGAACCATAGAGAGAGAGAGAGAGAGAGAGAGAGAGAGAGAGAGAGAGAGAAATTGTATGAATGAGCCTTAAGCCAGTGGCACACGATGCTTGTTTTCATGCTGGATTGCTTGCTGCATGGAAATACTCTGTTCTGATTGGTGCATTTCTGAAGACGGACCAATCAGAATAGAGTATTTCCATTCAGCAAGCAATCCAGCACGAAAACAAGCATCGTGTGCCGCTGACTTTAACTTTACTAATGATAAGAACCGGTGAAGATAAACATATGTTACATCCTTTGTGTCAACGAGATGGAAGGAGAATAGATATGCCCGTTGTCCAATATAAGTTTTATGTATTACTTTATAACTGCTAAGTATTTTCTCCTATCAAAATGACCTCACCGGAATGTTTGCTCTGTTACGGTGTATTATTAGCTATATTCGTTCTAATTTTGGTACGTGTTGAGGTTATCAATCTGACATTTACTTTACCGTAAAAACGTACATCTTGTCACATACACATGATATAATTATTGTTATAACAATACAAAGCGACTTTTGTATCAATTTAAATATACATTCCAGCTCTGTGTAACAATATTTATAACGAGCGAACGATATCCTATAATATGGAGACATGAGAATGAGAAGCTTTTCTTTAATGCTCAAACAAAAGCAAAGGAGGCGTTCCCTTCACTGTATGATGCCTGGTGTGTAAACCTCAGCGTCATAGTGCCTGCTTATAATGAAGAGAAAAGATGTAAGACTCATTGTATATGTGTTACATACAAACTACTTGCATATTGTATACTTCTATCTTGTTTGACAGTACCGCCAATGTTGGATGAATGTCTTGAGTATCTAGAAAACCGTGCAAAGTCTATTGGATTTACTTATGAGGTGATAGTAGTCAGTGATGGAAGCACAGATGGAACTGCAGATATCGCACAGCATTATGCGTCAAAATACAACACCTTGAGGATACTGAATCTTGTCAAGAACAGAGGCAAAGGTGGTGCTGTAAGACTGGTCAGTAAATCTGGTATAGTAAGTGAACAGTTTAATAATTCAAGTTTATTATTATTGTAGTGTCATTTTGATTTAAGGGCATGCTGAGTGCAAGAGGCAGCGCTTTGCTATTTGCAGATGCAGATGGTGCCACTAAATTTGAAGATCTAGTAAAGTTAGATGAGAGCTTAACAGATGTTTTAGGATGTAAGATATATTTGATGCTCACAAAATTCCTGACATTCTAGTATTATTATATTGTATGTGTGTAGTTTTACAGTAGTAACGATAAAATTTTGTACAAAGGTCCTAGCAATGTTACGTTATCAATATGTTGTAATTGTGTTTATTTCAGTCAACTATATGAAAAACCCAGAAGAAACAGCACTATCTGATGCAGTAATATGTGGATCAAGAGCGCATTTAGAGAAAGAAGAGACTGCAAAACGTTCATACTTTCGATTGTTCCTTATGCATGGATTTCACTTTTTAGTTTGGCTTTTGTGCGTAAGAGGAGTTAGGGATACTCAATGTGGATTTAAGCTTCTGACAAGAAAATCTGCTAGAACAGTGTTTGGAGCGTTACATGTTGAACGTTGGGCTTTCGACGTGGAGATGCTCTACATCGCGCAAAGTCTCAACATTCCTATAACTGAAATAGCAGTGAACTGGACGGAAATCGATGGCTCCAAGATAATACCGTTTTGGAGCTGGTTGCAGATGGGCAAAGACTTGCTCTTCATCTGGCTCAGATATAGAATTGGAGCATGGAAGATAAACGAGACCAAAACAGCTTAATACAACTAATCAATAAAAAGTCTGCCGATCACCCAGATCAATCCCAACTCATTTTTTTGTAAAAATATTTTTCCAATAAACTCTTAGTCATGGAATTCTATTTTTTTATGGTATTCGTGAAGTTTTATCGCAAATCGCGATATTTTCTATGATTATTATTTCCAATTTAAATTATTACTGTATCGTTTAGAATTAGGTTAGATCTAATATCTTCGAGAAGAAATTAAGCTTTCGAAAAATACGTTTACGATGAAATCACGTCCTTTTCGTCGCAAGATGTTTTGAAAATGGCGCACAGTAGTGACGTTTACGCACTTGTGAATTTTTTCTGACGTCGGAACACCCAACTGTCCAATGTCAAGTTACCTACTTTTACGCAACACATCGCTAGCGCCTAATCAACAATCGTAGATAAGTGACGTGTTCCAATGTCGTTGCTTTCAGGATAATTTGACGCATTGCGATTAGTCATTGGTTGTGCACGCGCTTATCTGGACGTTTCCGTTAAAACGATCGTAAGATAAAGTAGACGCTCAGTGTTTTGCCGAAGTGTTTCCAAGCTTCTCACTGATTTTGTGTACAAAGAGAGAAAACATGTCTTTTATCTCGCCGATGCCTAGCCAGCAATTCCTCTGGGATGTGTTTCAAAGGTGAGTTATCTGTGATCTCGAGGAGCTCCATAATTTGTTCACGAGACTAAAACGCATTCTTTTGCATTTTAAGAATATTTTCGGACGCCTGAATTTATCTTTCTCGTGAAAAGCACTTCTGTTTTTAAAAATTCTGCCTAATCTGTAAAAATCTTGTGTTTATGCTCATTAATCTCCCAATAGACATGCATACATCAACTCTTTCATCCAGGCTTTATTTTCTTACATATTGTTATGTACTATTAAAATTGATATAAAGATCAAAAGGAAGTTTAATGCTGACAATATCTTGCTGATACAGATAATTACAGATAATTATTTTTTTAGAGTTGACAAAGACAGATCTGGTGCAATCAGTGCAGACGAGTTGCAACAGGCTCTCTCAAATGGCACATGGACTCCTTTTAACCCAGAGACTGTTCGTCTAATGATCGGTAAGATAAATATTTCCACAAAGTATCTTTTCAAATGACCATGTAAATTTATTACATAAAAACTTATGTATGTATTGTTATATGTAATAATCTATTTATTGCCTGCCAAGATTGTCATCCTAAGGTATAAGTCATTTCCTGGCACTAAATTAGGATTAATATTTCTTGAAGCTGGAAGGACCAATGGCTGCGTTCAACAGAGAAAGCTACTTTGCAACTGTTGTAAAATTTGTGAATCTGATTGGAGTATTCTTTTGACTGAATCCAGGAGCATATATTCAAGTCAGATTCACGAATTTAACAATTGCAAAGCAGCTTTCTCTATTGAATGCCAATATATCTGGTATATGATATTAATCCAAAGTATTATACACAGCATGTTGCACATTCTTAACTCTTAGTCTTTAAAGTATGCTGCTATAATATAAGTAATTTGCATGGTCCTTTGATATCGCCATTATCTTGTGCTTCAATTTGTTAATACAGGTATGTTTGACAAAACCGATCCTGCTTCTCCAGGTATGTTTGATAAGAAACAATCAGGCACCGTCAGTTTCGAGGAATTCGGAGCGTTATGGAAATACGTTACCGACTGGGAGAATTGTTTCCGATCGTTCGACCGCGATAACAGCGGCAATATCGATCGTCACGAATTGAAGACTGCTCTGACGAACTTCGGCTACCGACTCAGCGAGGAAACGATCAACATGCTCATACGAAAATACGATCGTGCAGGACATGGTACAATATACTTCGACGACTTCATACAGTGCTGCATAGTTCTATATGTGAGTAAACACATAGGCCCATATTCTCAATCCTCTTTTATCTATAAGTGCTTCTAAAAGAGGCTTAGGAGCTATCTGATTAGCTGAGAAGCTATATTCAAGGCATTTTTATCGATAAAAGAGGATTCAGAATATGAGTCATATTATCAGCCGCATTTTTTTTTGTAATATATTCTTTTATATGGAGTGTCTAATAATAATAACATAAATTTTCTGTATATAGATTAGGTCAAACTGAACAAAAAATTGCCCTTCCCATTTCGCGAACTATGTAAAATTTTAAATTATTAATTGAAGATTTGTGAATAATCGCGCAGAAACAGAAACAGAGCGTATGACGATAAATACGATTTGTATACTGGTACATTAAGTCAAACTGAACAAAAAAGTTCTGCGCTATTTTACAAATAATTAACTCAAAATTTGATGTGGTTATTTGCGAAATGATAAAGAAATTTTTTGCTCAGTTTAACTTAATCTACACAAGAATTTCATGTTCAGACATCCTGTATATAATTGTTCTGTATTAACTGATTGATAAAATCTTCAAATTAAATACATTTTGGGACAAGTTACTAATATGTGAATAATATATTTTCTATTTCAGACTTTGACCTCTTCCTTCAGACGATTAGATACAGATCTGGATGGCGTGATAACGATCCACTACGAACAATTCTTGGGCATGGTGTTCAATCTAAAAGTATAAATCATACGCACGGTATGCTTCAGCAAGTATTTTCTCCTAGCAGCTATGACAACACATTGTTTAAAGCCCAGGCACATTGAAGTGCCAAATAAAAACAAAAATTACCCTGCTTGCACGTGTGAGAAAAAAGCATCAGAATCTCCAAAATTAATATTTATTTGTACATTTGTAACTTTGTCGTACAAACGAGATTCGATCAAACTACCAAGCATTTTAGTTGACGATTAATTTTCATTGAGATATATGTTCATGTATGCTGAAGATGCACTTTAGTTTGTTATGATTACTAGAAATGACTTGTTAGTGGCACTGATATCCTATAAGATTAAAAATTAACGAGACATTCCTTCTATATGTATACAATTTATATGAGGTATAATTCTTATGATATATAATCATTTCTCAAAGAAACAAAAATAATGTCCAACAAAATAATAATTTTTGGAAATTCTGAAACCACGTGATAAATAAACGACCGTATATATTAATTAATTGCCAAGATTAATTGCCAAAGCCAACTTGAGAAATGATCATCACACAATTTATTAATATAAGCCAATTATCAATTGTATCAATTCAGGTATTCAGTGTAAAACAAATATTTATTTCAGAGGCATTTTCATATAGCTTTAAATTCTTCCAATATTGTTATATACAGATTGCATTATCTGATGAAATTTGAATGTTTAACTGATTATCACACAAATATAAAAAATGTACCTTTAAATAATTTTAAGCAACACATAAGCACTCAAGAATGTGTCCTATACATTTCTTCACTATACATAATTTGTTATATATATAGTATATATTTACATATATCAATATTGACCGATACATGTGACATTCATATGATTCTGTATTTTTCTATTATTATTGATATTAACAGTTAAAAACAACCAAAAAATATATTCCTTTATAAAGCAATCTTATCGCAAGTATTATTTAAGATTCTAACAAGAGGTATAGCACTATCAGTGTTCCATTCCAGTATTCCTTAGAACAAAGGATGAGGATCAAATAAAGAATAATTACAGTATAGTTATTTAATTTATTGCAACTATTTTAATTTTAATAATGATTTTAACTTTAAGTTTTGTGTAGTAGCTTCTAGTAATTATTTCTTTTCTTCACGTGTACAACTTAGTGGTTGTCGTTGCCTTATAGATGCATTTATATCTTTCTCACAATTGGAGTATGCCATACCTAATCCAAAGCCAGCACCAGTTATTATAGGCCACTTTCTCCCTGTAAAAGAAATTTGAGAAGTGTATATGTGTGTCACATCATAAACAATTGACAGATAATCTGAAAAGATATGCAATTCTACAAAATTTGCTCCTCCATTTTTGCAAGAATTTTCAATGTAATATAATTTAATGTAAATGCAGATTTATGTCCAATTAAGTTACATTGCAATTATCTATTAATAATGACAATCACCACCTGATTTATTATCATCAATTATTAGGTTAGGTTAACTATACATATTTTTTTATTTTAACACGTTACTATCAACAATTTACGATCAACAATAGCGAGCATTACGATATAATACCGATTATGTCATAGAAGCGCTAATAAGATATATTCATAAAGCAACTTTACGTTTGAAGAAAAACAAGGAAAACACTCCGCCGAGGGCGATACCGCCACCTGAAAAACAAAAAAAGTAGAATCATCGTCAGTAACATCACAGATATTAGATCAACCGTCAATGATCCTACGGTGAGGATAATTACCCAGTTTAAGAATGGCATCCGTGAAGCAACGATCCCACTTTCGCCCGATCTCATCCTCGGCCCACACGGCGACGGCCATTTTTCGTGATAAAGTGTCGTTACGTCATTCGCGCGATACGTAACCGCGCGCATATCGACATCAATCATCGCCTTTGTATTTTCCTCATATGTGCTTGACGCGACGCGACATGTGAGAAAATTACGAAGTGATTTACGTCGAAAATCTGGATCATTTTGCCCGGAAGGATCGTCAACGCCGATAAGTATACACTTTCGTAACGCGCGCTTTTGATTTACGTCACGGTTGCCAACGACGATTACGAGCACATCTTTGAGTGCACTTAGGTCCCGTTTTCTTGAAACTTTTGTTAAAAATTAAACGTAAATTTCATTGCATATGAATAGCTATTTTATGATATGATTATACCTGCACAAAAAGGAACTTATGACTCATTTATGCAGGCTATGACTTATGCTGTAATTTAAAACCTTGTGTAAGCTTTGTGTAAAGCGTAAAGGCTATCGCACACAAATTGACATAACTGCATATGCATAGCATAAGATCGTATGGACCAATGAGCATCGAATATTAAGCATCGAACACCAATATGGCGACTTAATACTCGATGCTCATTGGTACGTACGGTCTTATGCTATGCATATGCAGTTATGTCAATTTGTGTGCGATAGCCCTAAAGGTATCAATACATGGGAACGTTCCAGCGTCGAGCGTTAAAGCGTTAGCCAACGTATCAGGTTACAGAAGTATACTTGTAGTTCTTGCGGAAAGTGGCACGTTGATTAGCTACCGCTTTAACGCTCAACGCTCGATGCTCCTATGTAAAGGCACCTTAAGGCTGGAAGCACAGACTTTTGCATAACGCATAAGGAAATCAACCAATCAGAGACCTTTATTTCCCTCTCCAGGATAGAAATGAATGACTCTGATTGATTGATTTCCTTATGTGTCATGCATTATGTGTTATGCAAAAGTCTGTGCTCAGGCCCTAAATCCTTGTGTCCACAATACTAGAAATCGGCCTGAGATCTAGATCCGAGAAAAAAGCAACCAATCATTTGTAGCTTTTACGGAAAGACGACAGTTTTATTGGTTACACGTTTCTCGAATCGAGATTTCTCGGACCGATTTCATCGTGGACACAAGCCCCAAGAAATTATAGAGTAATCGACTATAGCTGGTCAGTTTCTTAAGGGACGTCTACATTGGAAGTAAGTAGTAAGAAGGAGGAAATAAATCCAGCGGCACACAATGTTTGTTTTCATGTTGGATTGCTTGCTGGATGGAAATACTCTGTCTAATTGGTGCATTTCTGAAGACGGACTTTGCTCTGATTGGCTACATTTCAATTCAATCTCAATCCTAATCTATAGTTTGATATGGGCTTTACAGTTATGGCCTACGTAAACGAGCCAATACGAAAAATTTGAAGAATATGAGCATTAGTTCACTCAGTGCGCTCTTGAATCTGGTTGGTGAATACTTTCAGATTTCACCAAGATCTAAAGTCACAAACCAATCAGATCACGGAGCGATTGTAGTGCTGCACCGGCTGCACTCTTGAGCTCTCGTGCACTGGAAATGGCGCGTTATCGCGTCGGCCAATCAGCTTCTTATCCTGATTAATCTGCGATGACGAGCCAGGCGATTGGCTGCCGTGCTGTTCCTCGTCGCGCGTAACGCGTATCTCTCAGGCGACGAACCGACACCGTTATAATTTCGGTAAGTTTCACTATTTGAAGCTTACAAAGCCCATTTTGCCGCGGATAATCGTGCTTCGCTCGGTCGCGGAACTAAGGGATCGTTATCGCGCGCTCAGCATCGAGATTTCAGCTCGGCTCGTGCCGGTTACCGTCTCCGATTTATCCGCGCTCGAATCGCGAGTCGTCGTGTCGCGGGGATTGGCAGGCCTGCCGGTGCCCGTAGCAACACGATTCACCTATGGCCCCGTGGAGCGCCGTCCCGTCTTCCGCGAGCGCTTGATCGCGGGTGAGACGAGTCCCAGGGTGTCGTGGGTGCGACCGTACGGCGGTGCACTCCGTGCAACGCGAAAGCGTCGCGCGGTACCTGCAGCAGCTGGTCCTGTCCGCGAATTTCGTGTCTAAGGAAGAGGAGGGGGAGAAGGAAAGAAAGAGAGAGGGAGAAAGAGTGCAAAGGTAGAGAGCGCGTTCGTCAGAATTCGGCAAGTGTTCGTGTCGGGCGGCAGAGGGGTGAGAAGTGAGAGAAAGAGAGAGATTGTGCCCATGTCAAATCCGATCGGGCGTTCCGTTGACACAGTGCGACAGCGAAGAGACGGATCCTCGGTGCGTGAAGCGAGCGAGAAGGAGAATAGAAAAAAGTGCGCTTACACATACGCAATAAGTGACTGAAGAGAAGAGACGAGTGCGCACGGCTCTAGGGAATCTCACGGCCCCGCCGTTGCCAGTCCGGGAATCGACGGACAGGAGTCTCAAGTGCTGCGATCGGGTTCGCGAGTCGCCGAGTGAAGTTGCGTCGAGTCGTGTCGTGTCGCGTCGCGTCGGCTGGTCGAGCCGTGGCGGAGCAAAGAGCAGTCGAGGTCTCTCGATCGCACGCGGTTTGTTCGCCCGTACGCCCGCCCGCGCCTACACGCGCTCCATTCGATCGCTCGTTCGTTCGCTCGGCCGCCTCGCTAGTCGGTTAGCTGACTGGCTGGCTAGCTGGTTGGCGTAATTCGCGTGTGGGTCGGCGGCGCGTAATGGAGGTGCCGACGGCCGTGAAGTTCGCTCGCGGTACCAATACCATCACCGGCAGCAGCGTCAGCTACATCGGCGGCGGCAACAGCAACAACAACAACAACAACAATAGCAGCAGCAGGAGCGGCAACGGCACAGCCGTGCACGAGAACGACCGCCGCCGCTGTCGCCGCCACGGTAATGCCGTGCGCCGCGTCGTCGCGTGAGCCGCGCGATTCCTGTCGTCGACTGTTCCACACGGTCGGCCGCCGGGCGAGAGAGACGGGCCGAAATTGCTATGGGATCGTCCGGACCGACGACGCTCGTCAACGCCGTGACGGCCGCTCTGTACCTCCCGCTGCCGTGACGATCACTACCGGTCGCGCCGGCCGAAGAAGGAGAAGGAGCGTCAGCATCAGCATCGATACGCTTCCTCGACGCGCCGCGACTCACCGCACCCTTCCACGGCGTCCTGCGTATCTATCGTTCCTAAGGTGTAAACATTTGGAGACAGAGTGAAAGATAGAGTGACGGAGACAGAGAGAAGGAGAGATAGTGAGCGAGAGAGAAGTGTAGAAGAGACAGAGAGAGAGAGAGAAAGAGAGCGAGCGAGAAATAGATCGGCGATAAAGCGAGCGCGGCTCGGCGAGAGGTTAGGCTTGGCACGGGGATTGATCCCCGAGAGATGGCATCGCCCGTCGAACTCTGACAGTCAGCCAGCCCCTTCGACACATCCCCCGTTTCCCCGCGCCCTTCCGCGCCCTACGCGAGTGTACACCGCGCCCGCGCGTGCCCTTTTCCGCTCGCGGAAATTGCGGCGAGTGTCGTATCGTGTCGTGTCGTGTTCCACCGTGCCGTGTCGTATCCGTCGTCCGCGCTGTCCGGAGCACGAGGAATGTCCCGCACAGGGATCGATGCTCGTCGCTGATACCGGGATTGACGTCGTCGCCGTCGCCGTCTAGTCGCGTGGCCGACGTTGACGCGAGCGTGTAAGTGCGCGGAATCGTGTGACCGCCGCGCCAGTTGGATCGTATCGATCTCGCAATCGCCGCAATCGTGGATAACAACGGCCGGTACGAGATGCAGAAGCCAGGGCACGTGAGGGACCGTGAGGGTCGCGACAAGGAGCAGCTCGGGGCGCGCAATGACCAGGAGGTCACCAAGAGGCCGTCCAAGGGCAGCGGCAACACCGGCCGACCGAACGTGCACTCGTCCCGGCACAGCGTCACCTCGTCGTCCGGCGTGCTCATGGTCGGCCCGAACTTCCGGGTCGGCAAGAAAATCGGCTGTGGTAACTTCGGCGAGCTCAGACTCGGTGAGTTCATGCTCTTACACACGCATACGTACAGTGTGTGTGTGTGTGTGTGTGTGTGTGTGTGTGTGTATGTGCGTGTGCTCGCACTTGTGCACTCTTACTTTTATCGCGGCCGAGTCGAGAACAAACGCCGCGGAAACGTGGGTCAGTTTTATTTATTTGGTTAGGAGAGAGTCCGGAAAGGTGGAGAAAAAGGCGAGAGAACTTTCCGCGAGCGTAAACAGGCGTTGACCTTTCGAATTCTACTATCAGCAGATACGCATCAACGGCAATTCGGACTTATTATTGACCCTGTTCGCGTCTCGACGATTGTATATCTGAGAGCTCTTATCGGATACTCGAAGAAAAGAAATCGTTCTCTCTTCTTTATTATCTAACCTATATCTTCCTCTCCGAGAGAGATGAGGGAAAAGTCATATTCGCTAATCATTTACGACACGTGTTAACCCCAACACTGCCGTGTCGCTTAATTTCCATGACAGATACTTGTACGGCGTCCATATTTAAATGACATCTAGCGAACGTTCACTGGAACACCAAGTAATGTCGAAAAAGAACAAAATTTCGTCACGGAACATCTCTCTTTTTCAAGAATCTCCCAGGGGAACTGAGTGAAAATAATGGAATTATGTGAGATCGTTTTATTATAACGTTTTATTGAAACTTTTGGATCTACACGTGACTAGACAAGCTCAGCTGTCTTTACTATACATGGAGAAAACGCTGCAATAAAAATTATTTTAAAATTACATTTCATTTGACAATGTGTTTTGTAAAGCTAGACTGCACTAACATTGTAGAATGTAAATTACTATAGAAATAGCAAATTTCTCTCCTTATATCTTCTTGTGAGGCCTCAAGAGAATTCTTCTAAAGCCAAAAGGAAAATATTTTAATCACACAATATTCTTAAAGTTAAAGGCATTTCATACCTACAATCATACATCTTATTTTTCATAGAAATTTCTTCTAGTAAGAGAGCATTCTGCTTCAAGTAAACATATTCCTCTTGATTCAAAAGGAAATAAATTAGAATAATATTTACACTGAGAGAAAGAGTATTTAAAAATTAGTAAATATTTATTTGATGGGCACTAACGGCACATTTATTTAAATCTAAATTTTTTTATTTAAATAGAATAAATAATTGCTTTCATGAAAAATTAAGATTTTTTTAAGGTTTGAAATAATCTATATTTTCTATATTTTTAAGGTTTGAAATAATCTATATTTTCTTATATGAAAAATATTTTACATTAGAATAAGTGAATATGTTAGTGTGTGTGTGTGTGTGTGTACCAAATAAGTATTTACTATTTCTTAGATATTTTTCTGTCAGTGTAGTAGATTCCCGTTTAATAGTTTATTTCAATAGAAGGGGGATGCATTTTTGATAAGGATTTTTGCTTAGAATATGTGATTACAGGAAATAGAGCAACCTTGTAACTAGAGTTCTTTGAGCATTAAAATATATTTTTTTAGATTTTAGAGGAATCTTTTAAAGAAGTCATATACCTCTGAGAAAAAAAATGTTTAGTATTTGTAACTATAATCGCATAGAGAAATAATTATTGTAAATTATGGCCAAGAATTTTTATTTTTTTTATAAAAAATTCTGCTATAATGTTGGTAATAATAATTTGATATGCGTGCAGATCACCATTTTTGTGTTGGAACAACCAAAAAATATAATTGAGACTAAAAATAAATATAATTTCACTTTAAACTATTTTTTCTCTCAGTGTAAAAGGATATCCGCTAAGAATAAGATTATCTTTTTTGGTACAAAACATTTTGTAGTAAAAGGTCAAACCGTAACATTTTAATAAATATATAATAATCTTTGTATGGTTCAGAATTGAAACTTTTTGTTGCAACGTACATTTTCTTGATTGAAAAATTTTGTTATTTTTGTTGCAACGTACATTTTCTTCGTGTACATATATAGATATCATCCACGTCTTGAAAACGTATTTTTGATGTTTTGGGAACGAAGTTGTTTTTCACACGAATAATATTCGCGACTGATCCCACTGTGGATTCGCAATGACACCTGATGACGTCTTTTGTCCCGTGTTTGTCTTTTCTGGCGGAATCCCTTCCACATGAACGCTTCGAAATAGACCGAATCGACATTTCCAGAGGAGACTTCGCAACGGTATATGTTACGCGAATCTTTCGGCAAATTTTCCCTCAAATCGACCCGTCGTCGCCGCGCGATCAGCGCTCGCACCGTTCTCACAGACCTGTCTCGAATCTAACCGCGAATAATGCTCACGTCGTGCCGCAATCTCTATTCTTACGAGCACTGCAAAATTAGAAATTATCAGTCCCGCGAGACGCGCGACCGATGTCTGCCACACGCTGAAAACAATGACTCTAACATCACAGAGAAGGCTAACGCTCTCGATTATCGCGGCGGTGGCATAATACAAAGCGGTGCCACATGCTGACGTTGTTGTGAGTTCCGGTTTAACAGTCGTAGACATAGAACGTGTTCAACTCTGTTCAGACGTGATTTTTTTGGAATATACTTCGGATTATTTACCAAAAGGTAAATAGATTATACAAGTACTAATAAATATATACAATAAATATATACTATAAAGATAATCATCAATTACTAGAATATAAAATAAACAAGCATAATATTCATCATTTATATTATTTTTTTTTATTACTATATATATTTTTTTTTATCATATATTTATATATATATGTAATCAGTATAATAATACAATAATCAATACAATTTATATCAATACATATATCGTTGCGAAGTCAATACAATTTCGCATACTCTTACAATACAACTACAACATACTATTACAATATAATATACATTTGATATAAACTTATTCACTGAAATCGGCAAACATCTGGAAAAAACGCAATAAATCCTTATGATTCTACTGGCTAAAGAGGAAAAACTGAAGTCAACACCAACGTGTTAGTAACAATTGCTAGATTCTTGTATCAAGATTATTGTCTATGATAAGATATTACTATTTTAAATATATGAAATATATCAACTAAACCCCGATATCGGGGATTGGTGGTGTTGTGGAATTTGTCTCAGAGCGCCTGAGGCCATATATCAGGTCTGTCTTTTAACTGAACTGGTGCACACTTTCGATACTTAAAAAGAAACAGGTTGCAGCTTGATATACAGCTGTAACTTGATGTGAAAAAGAAAGAGAATTAGTACAAGCTAGTGCAGTTCGTTCAGCTACAAAGAACAGACTAATTGAGAGAGAGAGAGAGGGGGGGGGGAGGGAGAAAGAGATAGGGATGCTGACGTTGCTATATGTAGGCCGGAAGTTCGCAAATATTGATGTTCCTTCTGCAAAGCGGCAACGTGTGTTCGCGTAATCGCCGAGAGTGTGCGGATCGCCCGCTCAAAGCGATCGAATCAGACACACTCGATTCGGGCGAAAGTGCTTTTCCGCCGAATTTCCTGAGACTGGAATTAGCATAGCTCGAGAGACGTGCGACCGCGCGTTATATCTCGCGACGTCTAGTGTCGAGACGCCACGGACAATTTGCGGAAACCTGTTTCGCACTTCCTCAGTATTAAAGGTTTCCTCCTGCGCGGTGATGCCGGTTTCTCAACGGGGAGAAACTCTTTCGCTGACGAGCTGACGAAACATCAGGCTGACGCGGCGAAAACGCATAGCTTTGATGCGCTTAGGATACGTCTTCTCGTAACGTTAATATCGCACTCGAAACGAAATGCCCGGGCAGGCATTGCGTACGCTACGTGTAATGACTGGCGGCGCTGTTACGGGAGCGTCCATGCGGAAAATTCTGCTATGTTGTGCTCTTTGTGGAGTTTACACGAGCCGCGAGACTTCGCTAACGCGTTATTACCACCCATTCGTAATGACGCGCCGAGTTTGTTAGTTATAAGCCGCGATATAACAACCCGTTCGATGTGCCATCGCCGCTTATCGTTCTGCCACGCTCGCTCATTACATTGCTTGCGACAAATTACCGATTTATCTCGCACCGGTCATCGAAACCGTTCGTACGCGCATCCGAAAAGACAAATGAACTCGCGCGCACTTTATACACAGAAAAAAGAACTCTCCTGTTTGGAGAGTATTCTTATTCCCGTGGTGTGAATCTTAAAATGAGACTACATAGCATCAAACGACGACAAGTTACTCGCATCAATACATTTTATGTGTGATTCAACAAAAAAAAAAATGTATTCTTATTATTCAAAAGTAAATAATAATCTTTATTATTTAAAGACGAAAATAACTTTTAAATATTCTTATTCTTATTTTAAATATATTTTTTTATTACATTTTTAAAAATATAAAATAAATTTTAAAAAGTAATCTTCATGAGTGGAAAACGCAAAACATTGGGTTGAGAATATGATGTTTTTAAATGTCGGAAAAATATATCATTATTATCAAAGTAGTTATATCTCTTATAAGACTATTATAATATTCGAATGAAATTCTAATTTTGTTGAAATTTAGGGCTTGTATATTCTTCTAACAGAATTACGCTGCCTATAGAAACAAAAATATTATTAATTTGAATATATTAGTTTTATACTTTTTTGAATACTAATTTTTTTCTGTCTATATATGAGCGCGTACTCACACATCCACAGGACGTAGAATAGAAGCCATATAGAATTAAGTTACGTAGAATTAAGAAACCATAATTGTTTGGAGGAATATTTATTTCTCACGAACGTGTGCGTGCAGAAAACAATTTCGTACTTTTCGACGAGACACCCCGTGGCATCGACTGAAAGAATTTCCAGAAATTGCTCTTATGATTCATCTTTGAGCGCTCACTCATGGGTGAATACCCGAATACTCGTTCTTTCTTTCGCCGGAGATAGCCTTTTAAAATGCCGGTTGCGACTCGAGACTGTGGCTGGCTGGAATTGAAAATATATACCTGAGTCGAAATTTAGTTTCCACGTAAGGCCTGCCGCTTTCATTGAATTCTAAATGCCAACTCGAGCTACAACA